TAACATCGCCCCTTTTGAGCTTGGAGAACCCAAGACAAAAGTTCCTGTTTTTGGCATCACCCAGCTCAACAAAATGAGGATCCCTGTACCCTTTAGACCCTCACAGAAGATGACTCAGAAGGATAAAGGGAAACAACCAGCTACCAGCACCTCTAGAACCCAGGATGAGGCCGAATCCACTGCAGCTCCCTCTCATACCCCTGGACCATCATTTCTAGAAAGATCAATCAGGGAGATGTTTCAAGCAGAACTTCAAGACTTTAAGAGAAGAGTTTATGCCACTGCTAGAGACTATGGGGAAGTCTTTGACAGAAAATTTGAGGGCATTTCCAAAATTCTGGATCTTCATCGACAAGCAATGATGGTTTTGGAAAAGGAGGTTTCTCAGAGATTCGACTATGTTGACAGAGAGATCCGAGAACTCAAAGGGATGGTGGCCTCTCTCTGTAACAACTTCTCTACCCCTACCACTTCTTTTAGTTTTGAGGATTTACTATCTCACCCACCATCTCCTCCTCATAATGAGCCTGCACCATCTACCTCTCCTATACCCACTTCTCCTATTTTCACTTCACCACTTGTAACCCCTATCTCTCCCATTCCTCCTACTACTTTAGCTCTCATTACTGTTCCTCAACCTGTTTCTTCTCTGCATTTTTCACTATTCTCTCCACTTTCTCACCTTCCACCTCTTCCTATTCCATTGCCTATGCCTACTGCTTCTACTCCTTCCCCTTCTTCTTCTGATGCTGACAAAAAGGGGGAGAAGGATTCTATGGTTGAGTTCTGTTGTTTAAGTCTCTTTTATTTAGTTTCTTGCTTTTACTGTTATGTATTTTGATTTCTAACAGTTGTGTAATTTGCTTACTATGTAATTTTCTTACTGATGTGTACTCTGACAAACTGCTTTCCTTTCTATTCCCTTTCTGTCTCACTTTGGTCTATCAAGAGCCTTTGTTGTTTTGATTTTATTGTTACTTGATGCTACTTAGTTAATATCCCTCACCTATGTTTTGTCATCATCAAAAAGGGGGAGAATGTTAGGATTAAGGTTTTGATGATAACAAAGTAAGTAATATATGTTTCAGTATGTTGATCGATCATCTGATCGATTAAGAACTTATCGATAAGCTGATAGATAATATCTCTGAACAATCAAGTAACTTAGCAGAAACTTTGATCAATAAGTTGTTAGATAATGTGTTGATTGATTAATTGATCGATCATTGTTTACTTAGTTATGTACAAAAGTCTAGAGTAAATTATCGATCACTTGATCGATGATCAAGATGATCGAACATCAGTCAGATAAAGGGATATAAATCTGATAAGCATTTATCGATCACATGATCGATAAACAGATTATCGATGAGAAGACAAATAAATGGTAATGTGCTCTACTCATTCTATGTTTTGCTTTAGCCACCATTTATTGATCATTTTACCGATAAGTGATTTATCGATAATGTGATCGAACATTGCTTCATAACCCTCTCTACATGCAGGTACTTATCCAAGTAGCTTATCGATCACTTGATCTATCAGCAAATTATCTATCACATGATCGATCATCGGTACATCGATCTTAAATCATGGTTCTTAGATCACCGAATCGATAATCAAATTATCGATAATTTGATCGATCACCGCACTTTATGTTTGCCTTGTTTTTCACATAATGTGATTGATAAATCAGCTCTTTAACTTTGTGGGATTAAATCTCTGTGTTTTACTTTATCGATCACTTGATCGATCATTCATTAATCGATCACCTATTCGATTAACTGCATAGTCTATGTTTTCACTGAATATACTTTTGCTTATTATTTATCGATAAGGTTATCCATTATCTTTTTATCGATAAAGTGTTTGATTATTATTGCTTTAAATTCTGTTCTATAACACTTTGTTTATCGATAACCTGATCGATCAACAAGTGTTCAATCACTTGTTCGATCATGGAGCGATTTCAGTTTAAACTTCAATCAGTCACGATGTTTCTCAAAATTTATCATCTATTTCATTCAAGCTTTTCTCAGCCTTCATGTTTGTCTTAATTCTCTATTTAAAGAGATTCAAAATCAAAAGTGATCTTGATCTTCTTTTTCTCTGCATACCAATATGATGTCACTGTTTTCTTTTATCGATCACTTGATCGATAAATCATTAATCCATCACTTGATCGATAAACTTAGTTATCTATTTCAAAAGCTCTTACTCTGAATAATCGATAACCTGATCGATCAACCAGTAATCGATCAGTACTTCGATCAAGCAAGTCTAGTTATTGCTCAGCACATTTAATAACTAAATGATTCTACTTGTAAACTATGAATGTTCATTTTATCATTTGTTCAGTTCTGCTTTTGATCTTACTCTGCAAAGAAAAACTTATTGAATTTATGTATTATTGCAGATTACGAAGAAAAACCCAACAGCTCTCTAATGGTTGTCTAAGTAGCCTGTAACCTACCTTGTCAGAAACATTAATGGCGAAAACTGTTGCAACTGGAAAAACACGCAACCGGACTCTCAACTGCTAGAAGCTCTTCCGTTTAACGGTTGCTAAACTACCTCAACTATAAAAGGCGTGAAGAAGCATTAAATGAACATATTGAATACACGAACTACCCTCTTTGATTATTTATTGTTACATTTGATACTCTGTTTTTCCATACACCAAGCTTCAGTGATTCTCATTTATTCACTCTTTAAGAGAGATTGTATCCATAATTATTAATCACGTTCTGTGTGAAACTCAAGAGTATGGACTCTTGAGTGGGATTGTAACCTTACGGGTAGTATGGGGGAGTGATTGAGAGTATCAATTGCTGTACTGCGGCACCAAGAGCCCGATTAATCTTGGAACATTGTGGAATACTCAGAGGTGTTCTGAGGACTGGATGTAGGTGAAGTGGTTGAGACCGAACCAGTACAAATTCTATGTCCACTTTCTACGGTGAAATCTCTCTAACTCACACTCTCTGTTTCCATTAACTTATTATTTTAAATTCACAAAATTTTTATAACTCACCCAATTCACGCTCCTCTTGGGTGAAACTGCCACTAACAATTACAAAATATTAGGAAATCTTAAAAAGCTTAAGAACCAAATAAATTACGTAGCCCAAAAAATTTTTTTACTTATTTATAGGTATATGATATCATATGTATTGTTTATTTTTATTTTAATTTTCAAAAGCTTAAGATGTAACTACCTCGCACCATCACCCCATGGTAATGAAGCTCCAAAATCACTCACTCCATGGGCAAATGATATTAAGCTGCATCTTATATTTGAAATGTGAAAAATTAAACACGTACATTATCAAAATAATTATAATAGAAAAAGTAAAGATCATGGGAAGGTAGTTACAAAAATCTCAAATTCAGATTATAGAAAATAAAATAAAGATATGAAATAAAATATTATCAAAATAATTATATTTAGTCATAAAGTTCAGATTGTGGAAAATAAAATAAAGATAATAAATAAAATATTTTCAAAATAATTATATTTAAACATAAGTTAGATAATAGAAAAGTAGTTACAAAATATTAGGAAATCTTAAAAAGCTTAAGAAGCAAATAAATTACGTAACCCGAAAATATCTCAGAATCCATTCTTCTATATCCATCATCGCTTTTTTTCCCTTCTTTTTCTATTTTTCCTCTATAACGTGTATCACTTTGCAGGCCAAAAGTTGCGTGTTTCCTAAGCTATGCAAGGTATCCATGTCTACATGCGCTAACTTCTCAGTCTGCTATTCTTCTCCCCCAGTCTTGGCGCTGCATGTATAAGAAAGAAACTATATGAGAGATTGCGGAAAATAAAATAAAGATATAAAATAAAATATTTTCAAAATAATTATATCTAAACATAATTTAGATAATAGAAAGGTAGTTACAAAATACTGTGAAATCTTAAAAAGCTTAAAAAAGAAAATAAATTACGTAGCCCAAAAATATTTTTTTATTTATTTATAGGTATATGATATCATATGTATCGTTTATTTAAATTTTAATTTTCAAAAGCTTAAGATGTAACTACTTTGCACCATCACCCAGAGATAATTTGGATTGTTTAAATTTTAATTTTCAAAAGATTAAGATGGATAAACCGCTAATGAGTTTTGTTTGAATTTTTAGTTTACTTATCTATGTTTACTTTGAATTTTTAGCTTTATATTTAGAAAAATCAAAAATAAAATAAAGATGCAAACTTTAAATATTCTGACTGTCTTTTAAGTAGAATAACTGATAAATTATAAGATTTTCAAATTTCAAATTTGTGAATAACTTCCATTAATTCATATTTAAATTCCTATTTTGGATTCCATTAATATTAAAATTCTTCAATGTTAACTTCTATTAATATTTATGCTTATGTTTGTATAGACTTTTTAATCTTTAATTTTACAGTTCTTGTAAGTGATTTAACTTCCCTGATTCACCCCGATTTAAATTACAAATAGAGCCGCGAACTCGCACAAAATAAGAAGCCACAAGATATCATAAGAAAAACCGCTATCATAGATGTATTGAACAAAAGTAAAATACATTAGTTCCCTATAAAGACACTAAAACAAACATAGAACAGAAACCAAACTAATAGATAGTAAAACAACATTAGACTAAGACGCCTACAAACTGAACAATAACACACAAGCCAAAGCACAAATATAAAACACCTTATGGCTAACATGACCACATATCCCTAGACTGCATAAGCAAAACCTTCACAGCTTCTACTCCTCCACAACAAATGTGAGCTTCTTCTTAGTCGAAGGCTGTGGGTCTCCAGCAATCTTATCCATATCCACCTCCCGGGTTATCTTAGCATTCACACTCTTATCACTACCACTGACCACAGATGAGCTGGTGCCCTGTGAATCCAGCATCGATAAATCTGCATCCTGAAAGAATGCCTAATAGGCTTAACACTTGAAGTTATGCAGCGAAAAGCACAAAAATATGGGACATTAGCTACAATACCAAACCTACTCCTCAACAGCACCGCCGAGATTATGGGCAGAGCTATCGTGGCCGTCGTTCAAAGAAGCAAGATATGTATCTATGACATCTCTATCATCAGTCATACGTATAACTCGGCATGAAAATGATGACCCACCCACATAATCTGATAGAACCTTAACCTTAAAAAGATACTGCCGTCCAATAATCCTTTCCACCACATCTTCAGGAAGGGCATTCCTAAGCTACATTCAATCACATAAAGCCAAGTCAACACTTAGAACATATCAAATATTAGATCACAATAGCAATCTCAAATGCATCCATATTGAGAAACAATGATATCATGAGAAATTTTACATTCCGTTGGTGGGCACGTTCCTTAAGCTCAGAGGCAGGCATCCAACCAACTTTTGGAACTCACGATCAAAGATCAAAAAGTGACATGATCCAGAGTCATCCACGACTTCTACTGTGACCATGTATCTGGCAATAAAAGACCAAAGAACTATTTATAGCAACCATGACCATAGAGATATTCAAAGACAATTACCTTCATTGCTAGACTCTTAAGACTTACCTAGGAATAATAGACTTGACCATTGTATCGCACTTCACATAGAAATATCCATGGCCATCCAGAGAAGCCTTCTTACCACAATGCTTGCTGCAAGATAAGTCCACTCACAGTCCCCTCGTAAGTCCACTAAATCAGCCAATACTATTCCTGTTCTTGCAGACACCCCATTAACACCATCAATTTCAAAATGTGAATACCAACAACATCATTATGTATGTAGGCTAACAAAGAACACTATAAATGCTCACGCACAGCAGGTCCATGGATTAGATCCGCAAGTTGACGGTGATCACGGATTGCGAGAATCTCGTATGTTATAGTTAGTGCTGAATGTGGTGCTAGTCGTTATGGCTTTTGGTCCACATCAATCCCAACAGCTTTGAGTCTACAGACAATTTGAATCTACGTTAATAAGAATCCACATGCAAAGCTTAAAAAATGGGTACGCTAATAATGCTAGCAACATACTTCTTGATAAAATGTGTAGCCTCTGAAATATCTGGATTGATAAGCAAACGTGATGAGAACATTGAGTTGGATAGCTTGGTCTTACCCATAGAAAACACAATAACAAAACAGCTATTAACATCCCATGTGGAAGGTACGAGGAATAAAAATAGAACTGTGAGAAATTATATTACTAACCTTTAAATTCTCTAGTTTTACAAGACCAGATTATCACAATGATAGGCCCAACTTGATACTTCCCCATAAAATCCACCATATCCTCAGCAAACCTCCCCCACAAAATGCACTCCAAATACTCCATACTATAAAATTACTCAGCAAAATACAAGAGAAAAATTAAACCCCGCATCTAACGAAAAGGGACACTACATATATTAATATAACAATAGACTAAGCCATGCTAAACCCACTCTACATCAATGAGAGAGATGTCAATCCGTCGCTGGGTATGACCATTCACCATACACTGCTCGATCTCACTCAGGCCAGCCAACTTCCCAATGACATCTACAAAAACTATTGATTATCATTAAATTTCAAAATTTATAGACATCACCCGACCCCACAACCATCCAACTCAAGTAATAGAACTATTTGCTTACCCACTAAATAACAGTTATCGAACTGAGGATCAAGAATTTGGTTGAAGGAATGAAAAGCAAATCCATACATGTCCACTTTTCCATCATCAATGAATGGTCTAACGGAGGTTGCATATAAAATATTGATCCTGTAGGCATGCCCTATGAATCCTGTATGAACCGATATTACGACTGATATTAAGGTAGTAAATGACAATAGTGTTGCCCTCCTCCAAGTACTGTGAGTGTCGACCCACGAAATCAGGTTTCACCGTTGCATGGATATTATCACCCTGTCATGAACGAAAGAAGTAAGCATAACCCAAAACAACAAATATGTGATAAAATAACTACACAAACCTCCTGGTCACACAAGATCATCTCCACGGAGGTTGCATCTTGAGAAGAATCACTGATACTCATCTTCCACAACCGGACGATACACACATGAATATGCCATTGCATCTTGGCCGGATTAATCACAAGCACAACATCCAACATGGTATAGGCCATAGTCGCAAAGACGAGAGAAAGGTAACGTTACAGAAAGCACATAAGTAGTAGAACAGAGCCATAGTAGATTTAATAGTGCATTGACGTGCACTGGAGCCCATAGTGGAGCTCATCACAAATCCCTCAAAAAATGGCGAGAACACCCCACGTCCGATTATCAGAGTAGTGCGTTGGATTATGGAAGTTACTCTGACATTTTTGTTTGAAGATTTTTAAATTTGAAGCAAATATAAACTTGAAATTTAATTAGAAGCAGTTATAAGCAAAAATTCAAAAATTTGAAGCAAATATATTGATATCATGGGAGTAGTGCGTTGGATTATGAAAGTTACTCTGAAATGTTTGTCTAAAGATTTTTAAATTCGAAGCAAATATAACGCCATTCATGGGAGTAATGCGTCAGATTATGGAAGTTATTCTGAAATTTTTGTTTAAAGATTTATGGAATGTTTAAAGATTTGTGGAAGTTAGTAAATTCAAAAATTAGAAGTAGATATAAGGAAAAATTCAAAAGCTCGAAGCAAATATATCGGATGTGGAAGTTAGCAAATTCAAAAATTAGAAGCAGATATGGGAGTAGTGCGGTGGATTATGGAAGTTACTCTGAAATTTTTGTTTAAAGATTTTTAAATTCGAAACAAATATATCGATATCATAAGAGTAGTGCGTCGGATTATGGAAGTTATTCTGATTCAAAAATTAGAAACAGATATCTCTATGCCACGTGTCATGCTATTAACCTGGCAGTGACTCTGTTATTATATAAGTAATAAATAACAGATTGCTAAATTTCACTTGTTCATTTACATTTGGATACTTGCACTTGTTTTGTTGTGTGTGTGTGTATTTACATCATATGACTAAGTGGCTTAGTTAGCTTATTGGTTATATTATTTTGGGTGTGTTAAAAGGTCACGGGTTTAAACCCCCTGGCCACTTTATTTTAAATAAAATTCTCTAGCCACCTGAGTTTTGTTGGTCGACCTCTGGCACAAGCCACATGAGCCATGGTGGCTGGACCTCCGACCTATAGTGGTCGGAGCTCTGGTGACAATTAATATTTATTTGGAAAAATTAATCTTTTAGTGTTTTTAACTTTTGACTCAATTATAACTCATTCCCTTCACTATGACTCTATGCTACTCAATTCGTTAACTTTTAATCGCTTCTGACTCAGTCTCTTATCATTTAACTTTTTATATTATTATCCCTATGATTTACAACTCATTTTGAGTTATCATATGTGGCAAGATGAGTCATGAAATTGCTTCCAACTTAGTTTTACATGATTGAAGAACTGCAGAAGATGGATGAAGAGCCGACGCAAAAAGAAGTGAGCAAGGTGAGTCAGACTGGGATGTTAAAAGTGAAGACGAAGATGGAGAAAAAAGAAAGTTGCAGAGACCACTTATAGAAGCTGCGAAAGAAAACTTGATGCATCCCTCTGTTCATTGGCAATAAGGACTGTACAATAGCGGCGGAGATTATGATGGAGAAAAGCAAATTCCATTTTCCCCCATGGGAGGAAGTGGACTTCTCCCAAGTTACTTGATTGGAATCTGCGTGTTTGTAATCGAAATAATATTTTAACTGACTCCTACGGAAAAAAAAGAAAGGAGAAAAAGATAAGGTTAATAATAGTAAGGGACACGTAACAATTATGCATCATGTTTTTAACAGTTTAAATTTGTCGCTTGCACTGGGTTTGTGGCCTCTACAGCCTTCTTTTTTCTCCCTCTTCGTCTGCATTTTCAACATCCTAGTCTGACTCACCCTGCTCACTTCTTTTCTTCTCGGCTCTTCGTCTGTCTTCTAGAGTTCTTCAGTCACGTAAAGCTGAGTTGGAAGCAATTTCATGACTCATCTTGCCCCATAGAATAACTCAAAATGAGTTCGAAAACCATAAGAATAATACTATAAAAAATCAAAAGATAAGAGACTGAGTTAGAAGTGAGTCAAAAGTTAAAGGATTTAGTTGCACCGAATCACAGTTAAGAGATTAAGTTATAACTGAGTTAAACATTGAAGGACTAAAAGATTAATTTTCCCTATTTATTTTTTAAAAAAATAAAAAGGAGAGGTACTATTGTATTTTTACCCTTAAATTTTAATTTCATTTTGATCCAAGGAGGTTAACTAAACTTTTAAAATGTTTAGGGGTTGATTGATATTAATTAGTTACAATGGTCCTAAAATAAAATTTTCCTACGTTAACATATAGGCATGAAATATATAGCAAGTTATTTCATTTATAACTCGTGAATAGTGATCAACATGGTTGGGTTTAGTAACAAAAATTATTTTCTTACAACAAAATAAACCAAAATTTAAATTTCCATTAGAAGGAGATGCCCAATATTAAGTCATGTCTCGAACAGACTTTTTTGTCTCCAATTAAAAAAAAATGTTCATAATAAAAAAGTTGTGAATAATGTTCTTTCAATTTTATATAATTAATAGAAAATATTTGTATGATGTCATTATACATTTGTACATATTAAAAAAAATTTGTGAAAAATGTGGCTCATTTTTTTTGGGCCAATACTGTAGCTCATTCTTTCAAGTTTTGACTTTGTATAATAAAAAAAAATCTATTTATGATGTGATATGACCAGAAGCAAGTATACTGAGGTATAATTAGATATTGTGCCTGTTTGGTAAGGTGTTTAGAGAGAAAAAAGTAATTTATAAATATGATAAGTCAGTTTACAAATTTGGAAGCTGTTTGTCACAACTTTTGGCCAATCTGACTTGTGGATCAAAAACTGTTTTTTTAAGCATAATTGTAAAAGTACCTAAAGCTTAATTATGACATATGCAAAAGCAGCTTTTTAGAATTAAAAGACATTTTTGCCCTTATGGTTATGTTGCTTTTATACTTCTCTCTTTATATATTTCTTTTGCTTCCTAATCAATTTTTAAATATTTATTTTTAATTTTAATATTATCCTAAGTGAAAATAATTGTTATCAATTCCTATAATATTTATAAATTTTTAATATTATTTTTCATTTTATATTTAAATAAATTATGCAGAGTATATCATCCAATTAATTATATAATATTATTTGGTTTAAAAAATTTTCACATTACTATGATTTCTAATTTAAATATATTTTATTTATTAAATATAACTTCTTCCTATTATAATAATTTAAAATTATTATATTTTGTAAATTCATATTTTTAATCACTTTTCATTATTTAATAAAACTCATACCCATTTTGATCATTTTATAAACTTAACTTATTTAATCATAATTCAAACAACTTTTTTTATTTTGCAAACTAACTTTTGTAAAAGTGAATATAATTATAAATTACAATACTCAATCCAACTTTTACCTAATCTAACTATTCTAAAAGTCAGATTAAAAATAAGTTGCTTTTTCTATCACTAATCTAGATGGACCTATTATCTTGAAGCTGATAGTCATACCATTTCATTGGTCAAATAAAATAAAAAAATTATAAAAGATGAAAATTTTAGAGTGGAGAGAAGAGAGAAGAAAACATTTTAGTGATTGGAAAAAACTACTTTATTTGAACTAACATTACTTTTCTGATGTAGAAAAATTTGGTAATAAATTTAAAAGATGTTTGACAAGAGATGAATGAAGACCCCTATATGCTTCAACAAGAATCACATAGGGATAGATTGATATAATAGAAACTTCTAGTAAAATGCCCACTCTTAACCCAGCGGATAAAATACATTACATAGTTTGTTTTAGGGATTGGCAACTTGCCCATTGAATGACTTTGGCACCGGACGTTCCCAAAATAGGAACTGTACTCTTGGGTTGAGTGAATTCAATAATAAACCCTAAACCCTAAACTACCATATGAATTAAGCTTAGGGTTAAGTTAGCACCTTTCAAAAATGATTATATGTCCATCAAAATTCCACAACTATTATAGTATGTTGTGGAACCAGATCATCTCTAAATTCATTTTCTCAGCGTCCCTCAGAAGTCTTAAATCCAGTTTGTTTAAATGATCTAAAAGCCCACATTACGCCAAGTTATGAAAATGAATGTTTGCTCAGTAGGTTCCACATAAACAATAGCATTGTCTTCAACCTGAGGCTTGGCTTCTCTCTCCTCTTCTTACTCCCACCCTAGTGAACAACCATCGACTGCAATCTTTAATGATAGGTCCAAAAATCCATCTAGACAGATACCATAACTTCCTCTCTAATGTCAATATATCAGTATCCATTGTGCATAAAACCAAATGGCTAGAGATGAGTTTATGCTCTGTAGGTAACTAATAATGGAGTGTGTGTCACACCTCATTTTATACCACGTTATATCACAAATAGCGCCATTTGGAACCATTTCCCAAGACTTAAAGATGAGACAATTCAATATTTAAAAATTTGGTCTCGGGTTACTATTCATCCAATACTAAAATTTTGGCAAACTTTGAAAATTCATAACAAATTGTAAAAAAATCAAAATGGGTGGTTTCAACTTCTATTTGAAGCTTGCAATACATTTTTTAAGAAAAACAAAATACTCATTGGTATCATGTCATTACAAAACAGAGTCAAGAAATTCAAAAAGTTGCACTGTTCATTTGGTTATTTTTTTAATTTTTTTAGTATTTTAGCTCAATTTTGGAAGGGTATAACTCTTAGCACAAAACTCCAAATTTGATGATCTATCACTTGATTTAAAGCTAAAAATAAGATCTATAAGTTTGAAAAATCTCAAGTCCAAATTCATCCATTTGCTCATTATTTTATGCGTCCCAATTTTGTCCCATTTTAGGGCATTTCCATCCCTTTAATCCAAATTTCTTGAATCTTCTTTCCTCTTTTTCATGCCACACCAAACCAGCCAAACGAAAACCATATTCATAAGCATTATTACTACATTATAATCACATGGTCTCAAGATTTACCATATCCATAATCCATCAAAAGATTACATCAAAGTTCATCAATATACAACATAATATTACATAGCCACAAAAGTCATATAGCTTCTTTATTC